ATGAAAACAAATATAGTTATTAAAATAATTTATAACATGAAAAATATTTCATGATGGTTATGGTTTTCCTTTAAAGAATCAACCTGAGATTTTAAATTTTCAGGGAAATTCATGATGGTATCAATTTCCATTAAATAATCCTCATAATGTTTTAATTTTATTTGTGAAACATGCATTTTTACTTCCATAGTAGTTTATCTTCCTTCTCACAAAATTGGACAAATGTCTATAATTTTTTGTATGGATAAGAAGTGTGACGCGGCGTACAATCAAAATATACCATTTTATGACTTAATTTTATTAGTACAATGAAGGGCGTGGATCCTCTCTCATGTGTCTGTTCGATACACGAGTAAATCAAATATACAATCTACTACATTACAATATAACATGCTATATATCTGTATTTAAAACGGAGATGTAACATTCATGTCACATATAATTAAACTAAAAGTTTAATATTTTTTTTAATTAATTATTGTATTGTTGATTTAAAGTAACTTCCTGTCTTGTTTAGAAGAGCATCAATATGTCTTGATAAATATATGAGTGACATAATTCCAAAAAAGATCGCAGGTTGCCTTGTGTGGCGGATTCACTGGGAAAATAAATTAAGAGGAGTGCTAGGCATGCCACATAGGACCAAAAAACTTTTTTTTATTTTTTTATTTTATATTTTTATGTACCCTAAAAAGAGGAATCAAATAATTAATGACACTAAAATCACCTAATAAGAATGAACATGACCGACTTACCAACAAGACACTAAAAGTGTAAATTGCATTGAGTTTACGATCTAAATGCACATAATAAACAGACTAGAAAGACACGAGATATGTAAATGCCCGTGATAAGACATAGGACCAAAATCGAATTCTTCCACTAACGCATTTGAAGGGGTCTATTGGTCATGGTCATATTCATCTCATCAAATGTGCTGTGACTAATCAACAAATTATTGACATCACAACCTCCACCTTATGCTTATATATGTATGCGCTTACATCTTTCTTAGAGATAAACAACAACAATTATAATAAAATAATAAGAGATCAAAATCCTATAAATATGTATATAATATGTTTCCTCTTGCTAAACCTACACCAAAAGCCACCTCTCCCCTCATAACTTACTTTTCTAACACAAGCATTTTCTATTTTTGAAATCCCCGGAACTAATTCAAAATCATAATTATTATATTATTAATTTTTTTTTAACATTCGAAATTACTAGTAAATTTCTATATACTCCGTATTTTCAACGAGTAAGAATTAAGAAAAGTCTTTGCCAATTACTATATATATATATATATATATATAGGTTAGGTAGCGTAAAGCAATTACTATATATATATACGTTAGGTAGCCTAAAGCAATTACTAATAGTTTTGCAGATTCTAGCAAAACATGGGGAGTGTGTGACTCTGTGTCCTAAAGTATTTTTCATTCACGCCTTTTTTTTTTAATACGGAATATTATATTTTCTGTTGATTAACACCAACGGAGGAAAGAGAGGGAGAGAGTATCCAAGAAACTGCTACGATCTCTATAAATTAGAGAACCCGGAAGAGAGAAAGAGAGAGAAGAGATTTGGAATTACTGAAATTCGAAATTTGGAGTTTGACAGATTCTTTAGAGAGAGAGAGAGAGAGAGAGAGAGAGAGAGAGAGAGAGAGAAAAAGAGAAAGAGAAAGATGGGAGGTTGCTTTTCGGATGTGAGAGGAGGCCAACAAGCGGTGGGAGGGGCCCAGCAAAGGCCCCTACAGAGGAACGATGTTGGTGTTGGTGGCGGAGGCCACAATGATGCTGTTGACTACTTCTTTAAAACGAAGGGTCTTGGTGCGCTCTTTACACAGATCGAGGTATACATATATATATATATATATATATATATATATATATATATTCACAATTTCACACACACACACACACACACACACACACACACACACGTATACGGAGCTGGAATTTAATGTAGAGTACTTGTCACTTTGAAACCCTGGTTTTCATGATTAAAAAAAAAACCCCTGGTTTTCGCTGTCCTTTCAATGTTAGGTCAATTTTATGCATGTGGTAGTTTTATTTTTTGTCCTTATATTTAATCCAATCGTCCTCACCCTCATCATTCTTGCCTTGCCTTAGTTTTATATAAATGGGTCACATACGTTCTTTAATTTTTTAACGTAACTTTAATAACATCATTCCAATTTATTCTTCGCGTATGTATATGTATGTATGCGTGTGTGTGTGTGTGGTAGTGTGGGGGTCGTATTTGCCAATGTTTTCATTGCTCTGCCTAGATTAAGCGAAATGAACTGTTCACTGGAAATGCCAAGGAATGTTGAGTTAAATTCTTGTTGTTGAGTGACATGAAGGAAAAAAAGAAGACAGGACTCTGCTTTGGGACACTTTTGGCTTGCTTCTTTCATTGATTTTTGGAAAGAAAGCAAAAGCTAAAAACTGCTAAAGAAAGTGAATTAGATGCATATACAGTGTTTGATTTTTGAACTCAATGACACTCAATGACACCCTCAAGCGACGGTGGGATGGAAATTGATCTTCGCCAAGATCTATCAATTGATATTAGCATATGGGTTTTTATTTGGTAGAAAGATCCTCTCAATTGGACTGGGCTTTCCAGGCACTGGGGAGGGTAGATATTACCTGCACAAGTATGTTCAGAGGGCTTGACTTATTCCACCACTGGCCATTAATTATAAGTCAATTAACCAAAACATGACCAAGATTCGCTCCGCTTTATGTGTATTTACCCTTTTAAGTATAAGACACTGAAATTAAGAAAAAATGAACCAATGATTGAGAATACATCGAGTTGGCCATAAAATGTAGCTTTTACCCCCTTCATGCATGTCTTGGTTAACTAGACTTAATTTATTATTCTGATATAAATTTGTCCTGGGGTCCCATAGGTATCATCCATTTGGATCCTTCCTTGTATTCTACTATTCAACTTGAGCTTTTTTGAATCTTTTTAAGACTCTTGTACACTTTAATTATCTGATTTGGGCATCAAGCAGACCAAGTATGTTCTTTCTATTAGATTCTGTCTTTTAATCTTGATTCCAAATAGTGCTTTATGTGACATGGATGTACATCCAGCAGTGCAAACCTTAGCCATTCAAAAGACACACGTTAATGGGTGAAAGTAAGATTTTATACTTGTATTGGTGCATCAAGAGGGAAGATTTTTTTTGGCAGATTCACAATCAAAATTGTATTTCTGTGTTTGGATAAGACTGAATGTTCCAACTGTCTATCACCTGAGCAGAAACATATTTTGCAAGTTGTGGACCATGAATTTATCTCGTCACTGAATAAGAGTGGAGTTATACACAACTCCTGGAGTGACAATAGTACGATACCACTGCCAATAGGAAATGCCAGTGGACCAAATTGCAGTATAGTAGGGTTCTTAACTTCTTTTGTTTTTTAATTTTTTGGGAGGGGTGGAGTAATACATCATCATAAATTTCACCTTAAGGTAATTGTGATGCTATAGGGTTGAGTTTCCTTGTCCTAATCTCACCTATTTTCTTTTCATGGCCTTCACACACTATCTATTTAATTTTATAGTACATGGAGCAATAATGTGTTTCAATTGAAATGCAGTTATCTCTGTCGGCTTCAAAATTACGCGATCGTGACATCATTTCAAAGGTATGTTCTCAAATACATAGTTTAAAATCATGGGATTAGATGACTATATATTCATTGAGATAGGTTCAGCAATTATTCATTGGTTCTGTTGTTTAATTTTCATTGACTATTTGGTATATTGGCCGCCTTTGTGAATCTGATTTTTGGAGTAACAAATATTTGTACTGTAAAGAATTGTCTGCACTAGACACAGAAATGTTATATGAATTAAGAAAATGTAGCCGTGGTTGGTCGGTTAGGTGCTGCCTCAATTCTGCCATCTCTATAGACGTTTCATTGTGTACTGAATGGACCATATAACATGTGTGAATAGCCATTCCCAACTCTTAGAAAATGTGGGAAAGCAGTTCTCGAGTCTCCAAAATCAACTATTTGATCCACAAGTTTTAATTTATTTATGCCTTTCATTTCCAACTGCCTATGAGGGAGGAATTCATGAATTTTTTTTATATAATTCATTCATAAGAGAACAAGCTGGAGACCGCAGGCCACTTGGCTTGGTAGATAGATATATACTCTCTGATATGTACTAAGGAATTCCACCAAAATTGTCATTATATGGCTTGACCTTGAATTTTTTTTTTTTTTTTTCATTGCAGAGTGATCCTATGGCAGTAGTATATGAAAAGAAAAGAGATGGAACCTTAGAGGAAATTGGCCGTACGGAAGTGATAATGAACAATTTGGATCCTGCTTGGATCGGAAAAATTAATGTTTCGTATCAGTTTGAGATTGTTCAGCCTCTGATGTAAGCATGTCGTATTTTTCAACATCCTTGTGTGGATTTCTCTTGTTCACTATATCTGGTAGACCTTTCTTGGCCTTGAGAATTTATTTCACATGATTCCCATTTTGTTTTTTCAGCTTTCGTGTGTACGATGTGGATACGAAATACCACAATTTACCAGTGAAGGTACATTATGATTTCACTTTCTCAGGTCATTTAGTACTTGGATTTGAATTCAATAATCCTCACTATGTAGCTGACATTTATTTTACATTTGCCAATTCCTAAAGAATATACCAATGTTGGAGAATAGAGAGAGAATTAATATTCACCCAAAAAGTAATTATGGTAATATTTATGAACTGATGCAGTTTCTACTGCTTTTGGTTTGGATTTAGAATTCTGATGAAAATGGATAAGAGTATTCAGTTTTTAAAAATCTAAGATGTGTGTTGTCTAACATCATACTAGACAGTATGAGATGCTAGTAAGCTACTGTATGTGCAACTTACTGATATTGAAATTTAAATAGTACATAACAATAGATCTGTTATTTATGCCCAGTTGGTGGTTTCTTACGTGACTTAGACAAAGTTATGGGTGCCAGAATTCAACTTGTTTGCCTTGTTGTGGAATGTATCTTACGTCTTACATGTGTGTTAGCTGTGAGTTAGGTGCAAGAAATTTTGAACCAGGGAAACGTATGGAGCTTTTCTTTTATTTATCTATTTAGTTTTTATTTTTTTATGTTGTTTCATTTTTTATTTTTATGAGATTTTGAGACCTAAATAAAATTATGAAACGAAGATCAGGACTCAATTCACATGTCTTGAGTAGACAGTCATCACAAAAATTGCAGAGTAGTCAACTGCTTTAGCTACTAATTTGGTAGTATAATTCCTTATTTTGACTAGTATGAGTTCGACTTTTTTCTTTTTTCTTTCTTCTTTTTTCTTTTACTTTTTCTTTTGGTTGTTGTTTTGCTATGATATTTGCACACAGAGGGACTAAAGTTTGCTTTAAAAACGTTGGTTCAGGCCATCGACCTTGATTTCCTTCCACTCTAGAACTAACTTTTCTTCGAACCATTCAATATCGTATCAAAACAGATCTTAGTGATTTTATTTTGCTCATTTCTTTATTGTTGCCTCTTCTACTGTACCTTTTTATGGTCAAGTGGCCTGAGTATTTAAAGTAGAATATATTTCACATATAAATTCAGTATCTTCATGCCGGGTATGACCTCGGATGGATAAATGATGATTCATGAACTTTTTTTTATATTACATTTTCAAATAATATTGTCACAGTGATATCATATGTCTAAATTAATTTTTTGTGATATATATATTAATGGTGCAATGGTTAATGTGCTTCAACATTAACCATTTTCTTGGAGAGAGTTTTTGGAAATTTATCTTCTTGAAATATTTATTTTAATTTTCTTTATGTTCTTTCAAGAGTTTTAGGCTTTTAAATGTTGACCTTTTAAGAATTATTAAGCCACAAAAATATTATTATCATTTATTATTTTTATTTATAGAATATTTTTTATCCTCAATCCGATCCTAAAGACCTACCAATTGATTCAACAAACAATTTCGATTTTACAACCTTGCTTTTGGTGGACTTTATTCCCAAAACTTAATTTTCTTCAAACAAGTCAACAAAGGATTGGGTGTGTGATCATATGATCCACAATATGGGTTAACATTATGTATTTCAAAGGTGTTTGGGCACAATTCATCATCCCACCGCAAATAGTACCTAATAGCAACTTTTGATTATCATAGGTAAACAAAAAGTTTGCAAATGATAAAGTTTTTCCATTTTGTTACATTGCAGATGCTGAAGTTGAATGAACAAGAATTTCTTGGCGAAGCCAGTTGTGTAGTATCTGAGGTAAGATTCCTTGTATTCACTGGGGCATAATCGAATTCAATAATGATGTTGCACGCTTTTCAAGCTCTTTTGTCTGCTATTTCATTGAGTTTGCTCCATATATTACATAAGTGGGGCAGTTTGAAAAATTATATAACGAAATGTTGCAATAGCTTTTTCAATTAAAAAAATAAAAGAAAAAGGGAACAGCTATTCCTTGACCTCTTTGGTTGAGCAGCATCATATAACTGAGCAACTAGTCAGAATATCTGGTCCGTTTTGTATCACAGGATATGTTTGGTTTGAACCATGTGTGTGTCAAAATATGTGTTCATCGTATATGCCGAAGTCTTAAAAATCATTGGATTTTGTTGTTTGGGAAATAGTTCAACTGCTTGCCTTTACTGTACATTTGAGAAAACTGTGTGTTTTAATTATTAGAGAAACTTTCCATCTATGCAATTAAACAATATTAACCATAGAATTATTGTTCATATGCAAGCACTTGCATATATTAGCCATCGATAATTACCCTGGCATTCTTCTTCACTCTATATTAACAGTGTCAAAGTGACAAAATTTGGACATGTATAAGCATACCCAACAGTTCCAAGTTGGCGGGAAATCTGTGAAAAGTAGATGCGTATGGGACTTGAACACATGTCCTCATTAGCTTTGTCCATGGACTGTTCCTTTGACTACATTGCTACATATTTCACAACACGTGTCTCACTGCATTCTACTGGCCCCTTGTTGGAGTTTGTTTTCTTGTGTTGGTTGTTTGCCTTGGGTCCCATGACATGCGTCAAAATGTGGATTCAAGTTTTGTGAAAGTCCAGACCAAATTTTGGTTTGATCCACTCAAGGAACTCAAATTTGAGCAATGTGTGGAACTCCTATTACAAGCGCAACATATTTGGACAATTCTTTTCTGGCGGGACCCACTTGTGGCTTCCCCCTAGTTGAATATGTGCATGTATTGAAAACTGTGCAATAGATTTCTTCACTGCAGGATGGCTTTTCAGAATAGTGCTTCTATATCTCTTTCTTAAATGAGGCTTGTTCTGTAGTTATTATAATCTGAAATAGTTGTTTGGGAAGTTCTTTATTTTTATGTTGAAATATTCTTAAATGTTTACTTCTCTTTCTCCTTTTTTAACTCGACAGATATTGACTAAACAAAGTCGGAGTTTGACCCTTCGCCTTCACAATAAAAATGGGCAGAGTGGTCTGAAAAACTTGGGGACACTAATTGTCCATGCAGAGGAAACTGCCGGTTCAAGAAATGCTGTAGAGATGACATTCCATTGTTCCAACTTGGATAACAAGGACCTATTTTCCAAAAGTGTATGTATTTGGAAGCATATATCATTATGGAGCTTTTAGTTACTTGTGGAATTTTTAGCCCTTAGATATTTTTCTTCCTTACTGCTTTCAGGATCCTTTCTTGAGAGTATCTAGGATTGTTGAGACTGGTATTACCGTTCCAATTTGCAAGACAGAAGTCGTGAATAACAACTTGAATCCAATTTGGAAGCCTCTATGTCTCACAATGCAGCAATTTGGGAGCAAGGCAAGTTTGTCAATTCTTGTGATTAGATCTGGAATGGATTAAGCTTTGTTTATGATATTTGTGGTTGTCTCATGTTTTTGTGGCAATGATTTATGTTTGAGCTAATTTAACATAAAGGCTCTTACAATTTTGCATTTTTGAAGGCATAGTCACCATTGGAAATGTAACTGAAGGGACATAATTATTTTATCTCCTAATTAGAACATTTTGTCCCTTGATCCAGATTTGTTAATTTACATTTTGAGATGGATACAACTACAGGTTGCTATTATTTATTTATTTTATCGGTTGTTTACCAAAAAAAATATCTCTTTGGTGCAGGATAATCCATTAGTTATTGAGTGCTTTGATTTCAATAGCAGTGGCAATCATGTACTGATCGGGTAATTGTTCAATTTATTCGTCTTTCCAATTCCTTTCTTCTTTTCTTTTTTTTTTTTTTTTTTTTTTTTCCTTTGCCTTTTTGCTTGTTTTATTATTATTTTTTCAGAATTTATTTTTTCTTTTATTGCTCATTATATTGACACTGCAGTTCATCAGTAAAATGCAGAAATCAGTGACGGACCTTGAAAAACTTCACAAAGAAAAGATTGGTGCAAATTTTATCATACCATCTGCTCGCCAGGGTCATGAAAAGGTATTTATTTTGTACTTGAAAAGGATTTTAGCCACTTGTTGTATGTCTGTCATGTCTGAACCGTCACTGTGCTTATCTTCTGTAGGTTCTGAAGGGTCAACTTTTTGTTGATGGCTTTGTTGAAAAGGAACTGCACAGTTTTATCGATTACATTTCTAGTGGCTTTGAACTTAACTTTATGGTTGCTGTTGATTTTACCGGTAATAGACCTCAACATTTAAAAAAGCTATACTATTCTAGTCAAATTTGTATTGTATATACAGTTGTTTGGCCCATGAATTGAATTTGAATTTTTTTCCAGCTTCAAATGGAAATCCTCGCAGTGTAAGTTCTTTGCACTACATTGATCCTTCAGGCCGGTTGAATGCTTACCAGCAGGTAAGGTCAAATTTGGAAGTATCTATAGCTTCAAAAATAATTTAAAAAATCTTCAATTGTTTATATTGGGGCTTATGAGCCTACCATTAAGTCAGATACCCTTGAGTTTCCACCTGTGGTGTTCTTAAATTCTGGAAGTGTCTATGCTTCAAGAATAATTTTTAAAATTTGTTCTAACTTATAGGGGCTAAAGAACCTACCATTAAGTCAGATACCCTCGACTGCTCCCATGGGAATGCAGACTCATAAACTTGTTTTATCTGTTGATTACATTGATTTGACCTATCGATGTGGTTATGAACTGCGGATTCTATGAAAGTGGCTGTTAAAGTGAGTGCTTAATTTAATGACTTAACTCCTCGCAGGCTATAACGGAGGTTGGCGAGGTCATACAATTCTATGATTCTGATAGGCGCTTTCCTGCTTGGGGCTTTGGAGGAAGGACGTTTGATGGTTCAGTATCTCATTGTTTTAACTTGAGTGGTACAGGTGGCTTTGAGGTAAATATATTGCAAGGGATGGAAAAGACATCCTACTTTACTTGTTTTTAATTTGGGTAATTACCTTGATTTTCCCTGAGGTTTAGGCTTATCAATGTCAGATGAAACTTTTAAAAAATATATGGTCAACCTGCCCTAAAGATTTCTAAAAATACTTTGACCTCCTTTGCCAGTGAAGTAATCGTTAGGGCCGTTAGACAATTTTAAGTGAAAGTCCAAAACTACCCGTATTGTAAACAAAATGACATAACTAACCTTTCAAAAATTATGGAAGGACAAATATAACCCTTCTCTTTGGACAATAAGACCCTTATTGGTTGAGACCCATTTCATTATTTTAACATCCAGCTTTTATCTCATTTTCTCTCTCTTTGGTTGTAGGATAAGTGGCCTCCTCGCTCTCTAAACACGAAGTTGCTCTCTCCATCTATAGAGCACATCTTCTTGTTAAGAGCTTCTCTCCAGCTAGTGCCCAATATTTCATTCTCTCTCTGTCTCTCCCTCTCTCTCTCTCTCTTTCTCTCATGTTCTGGTTGCTATTGTGACTGTTAGTCTATATGAGATTGGATTGGTTGATCTATGTTTTATTGGTTGTTGTAGTAATATACACTTAAAAAAAATGCCTTGAACAAAATACCCATTTCTTGTGAACCAAATAATATTCAATCCACACGTGGTTGGAAGCAGAACTTTCAGCTCAAATTGGAGCTAGAAATAGAAAAAGAAACAAAAAACAAACAAATATGAGATCAAAGAGGAAAATCAAAAAGCTAATAAATTAATATTCAAACATAAGTGAATATCTAAGGACTCATACAAGTAACGGAACTTCAAGGTCAAGTTTGGAAATTGGAAAACAGAACAAACCGAATAAGTGACTCATGATCTGATTCTAAAAATATAACTGAGTATATGAAGAAACATTGAAGAGAGAGATATGCCAACTCTACCTCACAACCTTCACGGTCACCAAACTCTTTAGATCTTTGTGGTTTTCATTAGAAATGCAATACATATCTTTAAGATCACACGGAATCAAATTTCATGGTTCTCAAAACTTGGTTTGCCAGAGTGTTTGAGATATCTTCAAAGTGGTAGTTTGGGGTGATAAAGGAATATGGAGAGATCAAGATTTGTGATGGAAGAGCGATATGTTTGGAATATGGGTGGAGAGAGAGAGAGAGATAGAGAACGTGCTCGAGTATGAGAAAGAGAATGAGTGTTTAGATGAGAAAACTTTTGATGCGACAATACATAGCAGAGGGGCAAAATGGTAAAAATACAATAATTTGCTTACATCAGCTTTAATGGTTAAATATCAGTGTATTATACAGGGACAATTTTGTAAATTCACAGCAAACGTTAAAGACTTGACAGTGGTTAATTCTGGCGGTGTCAGATATTTATTATAAAACTTTCATCTGATATTTTCTTACCCAAACCTCAAGGGAGGTCAAAGTAATTTACACTTTTAGTTCTTGTTTTATGCGCACCTTGTCTTGTTTCTAAATGCAAGGTGTGCCATCTTTCAACTTGGTGGTAAGAAGGAATCTTTCATTCTGTTAGAAACACAGTTAAGATACCTGTAGGTTACAAATATCAGTGCTGAAAGTTGTTTAGCCTAATCTGTTGTTAGTCTCAGATTTATCGTAGTTTATGTATAAAAGATATCAGACCATGTGGAAAGACAAGCTTGATTTTTTGAGCAGTATGCTGCCTTAAACATCATATTTTCATCCCGGCGACAGGTGTATGTGGGTGGTGATGCTGCCATCATTGATGAATAACCATATAAGTCTGGTTCCTTGCATCTTTTACATGGTGTGATGGTCAATTTCCCTTCATGTTACAGGTTGAAGGAGTGGAAGGTATAATGGCTGCTTATTCAGGTGCTCTGCACAATGTTGCTCTTGCTGGACCCACCTTATTTGGTCCGGTTATCAACAAGGCTGCAGAAATTGCTGGGCATTCCCTCTCATACAACAAGAGCAAGTACTTTGTCTTGCTGATTATAACGGTAGTGAATCAAACGACAAATATTTGCTTCTTTCTTGTTCTTTCTATTTTTTATTTTTGTAATAAAATAATTTCATACTTTTGTAGGATGGAGTCCTTACTGATCTTCAGGAAACTAAAGATGCTTTAGTGAGAGCATCTGACCTACCGCTTTCAATTCTTATTGTTGGAGTTGGTGGTGCAGATTTTGAAAAAATGGAGGTAGTATCTCCTTAATTTTTTGTATTCAGATTTGGCCTTCAATTAATTCACTTTTATTAGCATAATAGCACTAAAAATCCTTTCATTGTTGGTGTTGGATGTTATCAGTTTACAAACCTCTGTGTTAAAATTGGTATGTGACATAATTCTTGTTTATCACGCAGATCCTAGATGCCGATGGTGGGCAAAGATTAGAGAGTTCCACGGGAAGGATAGCTACACGAGACATTGTACAATTTGTTCCGATGCGTGATGTGCATAGTGAGTTCATCTTTGTTTAGCTTACAAATTTTAAAGATGTTAGACATTTCGGTCAGATTTTTCTTGTTCCTCATATGCAATTCTAAAACATAATTGTTCTTTTCATGTTCCTATTTTCTAGTGTATGTGTATCTACTGTATTCTTGTCAACCTTCTTTGATGCTTTAAGCTTCTTAGCTTGCCTGTTAATGAAGCTCAAGTTGAAGGTGGATTCAAAGGTGGTCTTGGTTATTAATACCAAAAAGTGCAGTTGTGAGGGGTTCAAGATCGAATTTTGATATTCATTGGGTATTTCTGTTACAATCTTACTTTAATGAATACATTTGTTACGTTAGGAGCAGATTACTGGTTCAGCTGAGATTAGTTGCTTCAAGCTTGGCTTGTCCCAGCCAGCCACCTTTGATGCTTCGAGCGTTTTGGTTGTTCAACCTGGAAGAAGCTCGTGTGAAGATGGATTAGGAGATATGATTCGTGCATGATTGGAATTGAGAAATAAGTTTTCCCAACAGTTGAGAGATTGGTTTTGAGGGAAACATCAAAGGTGATGGTGGGCAGACTAACATGGCACTTACTGCAAATTGCTGTGTGCAATTTGTACCTCTTAAGTTGGTATTGAAAGGAATAGCTAGGTTGTAGAACTAGACTACCAATCAATAGTGCATTGCCTGCCTTGTTATGACATGACTAGGAAATCTATATTTTGCTTTTAGCAGTAACACTTAATGTTGTCTTAAGCCTGAGTAGGGTTCTGCTTATCAGAGCCTGACCCAGCCAGAAGTGTGCCGACGAGGACGTCGGGCCTCCAAGGGGGGTGGATTGTGATAACTATGTGGGCAGGTGCAAGACACTGACAAGCTACCACAGTAAGCAAGTTACGGGTGCATAATCCCATATCACCTGGGAAAGGGAAAGGTGAAGTGTTTATATGTAGGTGTGTTACTTCAATTGGTATGAGGCCTTTTGGAGTAAAGCCCAAGAGCAAAACCGTGCAGGCTCAGGCCCAAAGCGGACACACTATTGAACCTGATGTAAACCTTGCAATTTTCAAAAGATAGTTTGTGTACTAATTAATTATATGTGAAACTATCCTTCTTCAGTTTTGTTATTGTTATAGTTTTCGTCTTCTGCTTTTCTATGTCACTGTAAATAAAACATTTTATCCCCTCGTGTAGGCGGGCAGATCTCGGTTGTTCATGCTCTCTTAGAAGAACTACCTTGCCAGTTCTTGACTTACATGCGGAGTAGAGATATCAAACCACACACGGCCAATGTAGCCCAAACTTCTTCTCAAGCGTATCCAGACACGGCCAATGTAGCCCAAACTTCTTCTCAAGCGTATCCAGACACTGCCAATGTACCCCAAGCTTCTTCTCCAGCGTATCCACACACGGCCAATGTAGCCCAAATTTCTTCTCAAGCGTATCCACACACGGCCAATGTAGCCCAAGCTTCTAATCCAACGTATCCACACACGGCGAATGTACCTCAAGTTTCTTCTCCACCGTATCCACACACGGCCAATGTAGCCCAAGCTTTTTCTCCAGTGTTTCCACACACGGCCAATTTAGCTCAAACTTCTTCGCAAGCATATCCACACACGGCCGATGCAGTGTTTCCACACACGGCCAATTTAGCTCAAACTTCTTCGCAAGCATATCCACACACAGCCGATGTAGCTCAAACTTCCTCGCAAGCGTATCCACACACGGCCAATGTAGCCCATCCTTCCTCTCAACCATATCCTTGAATGGTCAAGATCACCACCAATAATTTCAGAATTGAAGTAAATATTTCCCATCTTGGTTGAAGCTGTGCTAGCATCATTACATGTACAGGAATTGCTTAGAATCGGAAGGCGTTTTTCCATGTACAGGAATTTCTTAGAATTGGTAGATGTGAAGGGAAAAAATATATAGAAGTGCATATCATTAAGAAGTAGAAATTCTTTTGTTTTTTAAACAGTAAACACAAATTGTTTCACAGTATAGTTGATGGTATTTCAAGAAAAGTAGACAAGGGATGGTGCCAACTCTGATTGGTTTGATAATATTGAGAATCCATGGTGGTTTCATGATCTTTAACATGTTTTTTTGAATTCGTTCCTTTTTCAGCCAAGAAATGCATGCGATGTGCATTTTTTTTTTGCCATTATTTTAATAATGAAATTTCAGGAAAAAAATTTACTTCTTCACTAGAGCTTTATTTATATTTGATTTGTTACCAAGGCATGGGAATGAAAGTTAAAGGGTGGGAAAGAATGTTAAAGGGGGGGACTCTTGTCTCGCATCAAATTCAAATTAGGAAAGTCTTGAACAATATGGTTTACCTTTTGGGTCGGGTAGCAAGCTTACAATTTGTTTTGTTTAGAATATATATTATAGTATAACCATATGTTGATATGGTTTAAACTTGAAAAAAAAAAAAAAAAAAATCTGTTTGGTTCATTTTTTTTTTAAATAGTTATCTAAAAACTTAGTTATAAAAATATATTTTTTCAGTTATAACAGTTTTATGTTCTCTTAATTCTTGAGAACGGTTTTTATAGTTAATATATAGTGACTATAAAATTGTAAAAAATTTCACTTAGATGCTATTTTTCATAAATTTTCTTATTTATATTTTTTAGCGGTGTCTTTTTCGTGAGGAGGAGCCGTACTCGTATTCGTGTTGGACACTCACAATCATGAATACTGACACTCTTCGGTCATGTATCGACACTTCATATAAGTATCTATAAATAAAATTTTAATTTTATTATTTTACACACTTAGTCGACACTTTCTAACATTTCTAATATAAGTTTAATCAGTAATATTGAAAATAATATGAACGCATCAAGGCGCTTTTCATTTGAAGTCAATTTTCATTCAGCCTGTTCATTTTAATTTTTTTAGTATTTGTATTTTTATTTTTTTTAACACTTAAATAAAAGTCCTTGCATCAAGATATAAAAAAATTTTACTGAGAGTTCTTACTAGTCTCTCTCCCACACAATCCCTAAGAGTCAGCCATCGAAAAAAGGGATAGGCTGGTGTTCGAATCAATATTTTGAATGTTTTATATAAATACTCTTGCACGTCCGCAAAGAATCTATCGACCGGCATAAGACCAAAAAACCATGCGGACAATTACACATTTCAGATATTGCAGAGAGAGAAAGAGGGAGGGCAGAGTGATAGATGGGAATGTGCTTTTCTTACCTAAGAGGAGGGCAACAAGCAGTGGGTGGAGGGGTCGTACTAAAGATGAACGATGTTGGTGGTGGAGCAGCCCATAACGACGCTGTTGACAAATTCTTTAGAACAAAGGGTCTTCATGATCTCTTTACACAAATCGAGGTATATACACATATATATTATACAAACACTCTTAAAGTAGTACTTGTGACGACCTTTATATCATCCCAAAAAACGTAGTTCACTGCTGTCAATGTTGGGTCAATTTCATCCCATTTTATCAATGTTTTGTTGAATTATTGTTGTTGAGTGTGCTTTGCGGCATTTTTTGCTTCCTTTTCTCATTAGAATGGGAGAATTTCTTGGATTTACATAAAGAAAATAAAAAATTAAGGGCTCATTTGGCAACCATTGCTGTTATACATTTTTGTTTTCATCTGAAACAGAAACAATGTTTTTGTTATGGTGTGTGTTCATTTGTGATTGGAAGCATGCACATTTGATATTGTTTGATCACTTATTCTTACGGGAAAAATAAAAAATTTCTAAAATTTTAAAACCTTCGGGGGGAAAAAAAATTTATTGGAAGGTTTATTTAAAAAAAAAAATTGACTTAAAAATCATGTTAAAACCAATCACTTAAAATTTTTTATTTTATTTTTCCCTGGAAGGTTTTAAAATTTTAAAATTTCTTCATTCACTTATTCTTTGATCACCTGAGATGTCTTTATGTAGGAAGATCGTGTTTGACTTGTTTAGCAGTTCTCAAGCTCAAAGTTGATATTGATATTGATTAAAAGAAATTTTTTATTCGTAGGACGTCTTTTGACGACTGTTAACGAGTTTGTTAAGATTTTCTGTAGTTTGTTAAGATTTTCTGTTTGTGAACTTTGTTTGGATACATAGAAGAGAAAAGAAAAAAATAATTATAATATTAGTTATGAAAAAAAAAAAAGAAAGGGGGATAGCAATAATTTCTATTTATGTTTGGATAAATAGAAGAGAAAAGAAAAAGAAAAAAAAAATGATAATATTCTTCTCTGGATATGATAGATGGGAAAAAATAAAAGAAATGATAACAACTAAATTACTATAACGTATTTTTAAATATATGGAATATGAGTGGAATGATAATTTTTTCCTTTTAATTATTGAGGAAAGTTTCGAAATTATAAAAATACTCCTTAAACATTATCATTTCTCTTCCCATTTTTTCATTTTTGGAGTGATAGAAAATGAGGAATAAGGATCTCTCCCTTTCCTTTCTTTTTTATCATTTTTAACCAACTGAACACACTCTCACTATCATTTTTTTTATTTCTGTTCCTATTTCTCCAAATCTAATTCTATAAAAGTTTGAAAATTGTATTGAAGTTCAAACTTTTTACTTAATAAACATACTTAAGTTGTCTCTTATTGAGTCGAGCTAGAACTATTCATCAATTTGTTCAATTACAATTCTTAGTTTTCTTGTTTTACATTTTTAAACATTAATTCGTCAAGGATTGCTTGTATTCTTGGTGCCACATTAGAAGCTTTGGAATTAACCAACGTGTCGTGGCTTTGGTTTCCATCTTAAATTGGCATTAGTACATAGAGATCTGTACTTTAAGCCTCACCATTGGGCCCTAGCTTACTATGCGGGCCAGCCTGGCTCGGCCTATTGCCCTCTACCGGGCTGAGTATGGAATCAGGCCACGAATATCAATCGGCCTGGCCCAAATGTGAACCTATTAGCCTGTCCTGCGGCCCCACACATTTATTTATCTTTTGAGTATATAAACATTTAAATTAGGGTAAAGTGCATTAAACCCCCTTGAACTATTGGTCATTTGTAAGAAACCCCCTTGAACTATAAAAAAATCCCCTGAACTATGATTTTGTTGCAATTTACCCCTTTGAATTATCGGTCATTTGCAAGAAACCCTCCTGAACTACAAAAAAAAACCCCTTTGAATTATGATTTTGTTGCAATTTACCCCCATGACATCAGCTTCCTGCATCGAAAATTTTGAAAGACCAGTTTACCCTTATAACACACTGCGTCGTTTTAACTTAGACACTTCTTACATTTTTTTTTCTGCCAAAAGATGTTTTTCACC